GACAGTTTTATCCCATTGTAATTTGAACCAAAACACTTGATTACAAGGTTAACATTGTATTGACACTGTTAAGGAGTTATGAAGACACTTTGTGTGAAGGAGCTCAATATTATGAAGATGATTATAATGTGATCAACATTACATTATTTTAGGGATCAGTACTACCCAAAAGGTAAAATAGGAACACTTAATAAGAATACACAAGAACAAAATAGAAAGAATAAGACTATGGAAGATGGGCTGTCTGTCTGACTGTCTGGATCTCATGACAAAAACTGGACCCAAGGGTAAGGTGCGTCGCCTATAGAGCACGCTTCAAAGAATGGTCAAACCACAGATGAGGCCCATAGAGCTGATGGTCAGCAGAGGTTACGGGCCTAGGCACAATAGCGCCTAGGCTCGGCTCGAAGCAGAAGAAAGAACGGGAGAGGTTTTAGTCAGTAAGAGTCCGACACTTCTCACACGCTTCACCTAGGGCGGAAGAAGTTATTTGATGATGGTATTTCTGTTGTGCCAAATACATTTCTTTCGCAGTCCGAGATTTGAGCTACTAGCAAGCTAATGAAAACTATACAAACATAACATATTAGCGTTAATGTAGGTGTAAAATATATGCACAAGTTTAATAATTACAACACATTAACATTGTTAGTTCTAAAGGAAATCAAAACAGAAGGAATTCTAATAAAATCTCCTTTTATAGCCACACCTACGATAGTCGTTTAAGACAGATATACATATATAGAGAACCATAAAAGAAGTATTCCTACTTACTTAAAATGTTGAGAACCTAAGTCACAAATATACCTATTATGCTCACTAATGTTAACTTACCTACTTACGTACTCAAGCCCGCTTCTCATGCATGAAATGCAGGTTCAAAACCTGGCAAATACTCGTACCAATGTGACTTTTTCCAAGTTATACATAATAATATGTACTTTCTATGATCATTTAGACACCACTGACATTCGGTGAAGGAAAACTTCGTGACGAAACCTGGACTTATAATTTCTAATTATAAGTTTGAAATTGCCAATTCGCCTTGAGCAAGCGTTGGTACTGATTAATGCTCAATCCTTCTCCGTGTGAGAGGCCTTTGCTCAGCAGTGAGCACTTATAGGCTGATGATGATGATGATGATGATGACTTACGTACCACAAAATATTTCTGCATTTAGACCGCGCAGTAACAATTTGACTGACCAAACAAATAATTAAAAAAACATTGATTAAAATTGCCAACACCGTTAGGTCTACTATCAAATTCTATGACAAGCCATTTTATACCTTAACGTAGTATCAATTGGCACTTGATTGCAATAATTAGCCTATTCGTTTCAATGCCTTGGGGTCATTATAATCAAGTTGGAGCGGTTGAATTTAGCTGGTGGTACACTTGCATCAATCATTATTAGTGCATTTATATGCATGATGTGTTTGTTTTGTACGTCTCAAGGATCGAAGTCTAGATGTTCTCTGATTGGACTATAAAAAGTAGAAACAAAGTGTGGTAGAACCAAGCTTCGGCACGAATGGATCGGCTCGACCGGAGTAGGTAATACCACGGCCGCGAAGAAAACCGGCGCTTGAGCGGTGTGTTTCGCCGTGTAAGTGAGGTTGCCGAAGGCCCTATCCTGCCCCTGTCCCCAATCTCTTAGTTTCCAAAATCCTAATCCCTGATCGCTTGCTCCATCTTTTTCTGTGAGGAGGAAATCATCAAATGACTTCTCCCACCCAGGGCGAGAGGAAGTGTCAGGCCCTTACTAATTAAAACACCCCCGTTACTTCTCCTGACACGGGCCACCGCCGCAGCACATTAAAGCGCTTGCTTCCACAAATCCCATCCGTGTTTATCTAATGGACCTTTTGGGCGGCATGGAATGTATGTATGTAATGGCGTATTTACGCAAAAGTATAAAGTAACAATTTTACATAAAGTTTTGTTTAGATACTAATCACAATATAAAACAAACTACACGCTATATTCCGATGTAAATACTCCTCATTGGGCTGTCCACTGAAGGGAAGCAAGTTGCATGCGAGGGTCAGGCAAACATTACCTAACTTAGTTCACAATATGTACATAAGACATAAGGTTATTATATATTATGCCATATTCGATGTATGCATGCATTTACCATAATTGTATATGTTCTATGAAGTATATGTGCTATATAACAACATATGTATATGTATAAATACATAATACTTGTTACATATGTATGTTAGTTAAGTGTAGCTTTTTTTATTAGTGTTGTACTTAGATATAAATGTTGTGTGCCCGGAGGTTAAGGCGGCTGCTTCTTATGCATGAAGGTTCGAAATATGACAAGTACCAATGTGACTTTTCCGAGTTATATGTACTTTCTATGATTATTTCGACACCACTGACATACGGTGAAGGAAAACATCGAAATCTGGACTTATAATTTCTAACTATAAGTATGAAATCACCAATGCGCCTTGAGCATGCGTAATGATTAATGTTCAAACCTTCTCCATGTGAGAGGCCTTTGTTCAGCAGTGGGCACTAATAGGCTGATGATGTGATAAATGAGATACTAAATTTATTGAAAATAATAATTATTTACGTGAATCAACTGAGGAAAGCTGTACTATTTTCAAGTCACTACGGGACTCTTATTCATGAGCATTCTGATTCAGTCATAGAATTAAATTCATGCCTACGATGGTTACTATTCAAAAAATTGTTGTGATAGTGTTTATTCTTAAGGGCGAGTCTTTTAAAAGGTTGTTCAGTTTAGAATACAACTTTTGCCGTGTTATTTTGTGACAATAGATAAAAAAGGATATCTGAAAATTTAGTTTTTTTTTTCGGCGAGTGCTTTCAAAATTTGCTCAGTTAAAGTTTAGAATAGAAGTTTTCGTGTATTAGTTTGTAACAAAGTAAGTAAACTTTATTTTCAGCCAATCTATTACAGGATTTCTTCTGCCGAGCAGTTAAATAACAGGAGAGGTTGTGATATCATTGTTTAGTACACATTGTGATTAGATAAGGACATACATAGATAATATAAATCCAATACGAGATAGTTTCGATACGTGGTTCGTCAGTGTGATTGTATTTTCTACAATGTTGTTGTTATTCTACTGTTATGTTTAGTGCATTATTGAAAACGCGACTATGATCAGTACTTAATGACTTTTTTCGAAACGCCAATATGAGAGTTATCGAAAGAATCTTCAGTTTTAGTTACCTTTCTTGTAAAAAAAAACATTGATAATATAAAGTTCAAAGAAAAAAATGAATGTGAGAAATCTAGACAAAATAATATCTATTAATCAAACTTATTAGGAAAAATCCACATCAACACGCTATTAAAAATAAAATAAAAAAGGTATCCAGACAACCGTGCTAAAAAACATGATTAATAAAATTATTAGTACGAAAAAAGACGTTACAATTTAAACTTAAAAATCGAACAGTCGCTTCTTAATTTGAATACAAATTAACAAGACACAACGCAATAACTTGTAAAAAATATAAATAAAATGAAAAATATCTTCCATTTGGCCATCGACAAAAATGGCTCTGCAATATTGGATCCTATCGATAAGGCGATAAGGATTATGTTTATATAAACTGTATATGAAAACAGGTCTGTCCGAACTAATAAATTCTAAGCGCCATATCCAAGTGATCTTCAAAGTTTGAAGTTCAAAATAATAAATATTAATCACAGCTCTTGGTGTTACCCAAAAAATAACGAACTGGATTATTGGACTATGATGAGTTTGTTATTGGTAACTAGCTTTTGCCCGCGACTCTGTTCGCGTGGAATAGTGACTTCCTGGAGATTTTTGGTATAAAAACTATCCCATGTCCTTTCTCGAGTTCCAAACTACGTCTGTACTAAATTTCACAGAAATCGGTTCAGTAGTTTAGGCGTGAAGAAAAGACAGACAGACAGACAGAGTTACTTTCACAATTATAATATTAGTTTGGATTTGGATTGCAGAATAAATATCTAATCTTTTGTACGAGATGTTACGATGATGTTTTTAGACGATGATTCTGTGTAGTAAAGGAAAAGTATTAGTTTAATTTTCATAAAAAAACTACAACTACATATAGTTAGGACATTCCACCCCTTACTTTCAGGAAGTAGGGTATATTTAAACGGATACCTGGCAACACCGAATATCAAAACAGAATGCGCGAAGAATGTTAAAACACTGACATCGCAAACAAAACAAACGAATGTTTAAAAAAAACAAAGGACAAACATTAGACTAAAGACGTTATATGTCACGACCGGAGAGGTTATAATATCTGAACTATAGCTTAATAGGAATCAAAAGAATATTGAGAGCTTCGTCTGTTTGAGCGGGAAAATTCTAGAACATCACTACCGTTACGATTTAAATTTGAAAAACTAAAATTAATTTATGATATACTTATCTGAACTATTAGGGCAATAGGCATCCAGAGATCAAAATATTATGGGCTTAGTCTATTTGGAGCGGGAAAATTCTAGAAACTTAAATTAATTAAAGATGTTCGATAATCTGATAATAATTCAAAATGACAATGACATGTTGCTGACAATAAGGATTGAGGTAATTGGTAATTACCTTGAAAGTGAAATTCAGAGTTTCATAATAAAAACAGTAAAGTTCATTACCACCGTAATATTACTGGGAATAAGATGTGAGTTATCTATTACATAATTTTGGTAGAAATTTAAAAGCGAAAGGCCATCTTAGACTTTTAAAGAAATTAGCCTAACCTGTTTATGGAAATGGATCGGCGTTTGGCTACAATTCTGGCCTGATGGTAAGCGATTATGTACCCTACGATAAATCATACTAGACCTGTCCAAAAAAAATACTAGACTAAATGCAGCTGATTCCCACAACTTATCACAGTTCAGATATCACAGACCTTCTCAATGTTAGATTCTCACTCACGCGCATTCTCAATAACCCATCACCACGAACCTGACTGTTGTATAAAGAATCCCCAACAAGTTGTACCTTTGAATTTGGTCAGATTCTCCTCGTAAACCTGATCGTGGCTGTCGGAGTGTTCACCCCTGTGCCGTTTCGAAGGGTGGGGCCCATCGTAGAAGGCTCCACCGTTGACGCCATCTTGCACTGCTTCTTGAGGGTCGAAACCCAATCGCTCCTTGTAATACGCTTGTGTCGACATTTTCACGCACACACACTTATCATAATTTAAATTTAGATTCACTTTTTTTTATTCGAGCACTTTTATTTTTGTTAGGTTAGGTTAGACACCACTTGTATCCGGGATTAGGGTCCGAGCACTGCCGCTTCCCGAGTTATTATGAAGGGATTCGCCAAAATCCGTCCACAATAAACCCGTTTATGGTAACAGAGGTCGTATTTAAACGATTCACCAGTATTTTATCACGATCGATGTCATCCAGTTCTCTTGGTCTACAAAAGGAAAGTTGCAGAGCCCCCTTGACACACACTTATTGATCTTGACACGATTTTTTTTCTGTTATTACTCACTTAAATGTCTGCCTTATCGAGTATTAAAAAAAGCTTGTTAATGTTAATATGGCAACACTAAATTAAACGTTAGTTTTTTTCAATTTGGAATGCTTTGTTACTTTTGATTATTTTAAAAATCTGTTCGTATACGTTGTCGATATAATATGATTCACTTGAGTTCGGTTTTTCACATAAAGCTCCTTACACATTTGTGTAAATAAAACTGGAAACGGCCTGTGAAACAAAAGGAACGTATGATTTACATTTGTTTCCCGAGGTCTGTGTTGCCACACACAAATAATGACTCACACGTTCTTTGGGAGGTTTTTTAATGATACTATTTACCACGAGAACAAGGATTTAGGTAATTTGGACGACCTTGAACGTACATAGAAATAATAAACGACCGTGCAATGTAAATGCAATTTGATACTTAAATAAAAATATGAAATACTTTGGTGAATGACCTCTTTTGATGGAATCGAGTTGGTCTATGCTCCGATCGGTGTAAAAACTTTTTGGTACACGAATTATAGTCTCTGGGTATCTGTAGAACTGGCATTTGGACAGTACTAACTTTTAAGTAAAATTATATTATAATAATTGGCCATTTAAAAAAGGCACTTTTGAGTATTAGTATTTCTCGGAAACGTCTAATAATAAGCCTTAATGATTAAATTATGAGACATTTGAAAAGCTAACGAGAGTCGTTAGATAACAGTTGTATTACATAAATAACTTGTCATTAATTAAGTACAAGAAAAAACCTGTTTGGTATACTACGAATATTTTGCGATGATTTATTTAGCCTCAAACCAGCCAGTGTCATGGCCGTTAATATTAAATATTATAACTCTATTCAATATCGAAAATAAGTTATAGAATTAATAAATATAATATACTACAATAAGAAACACATTTTTCAAAAAAGTATCGTGTAAGAATAACAAATCGGTTTTTAAAATATTAAATTTTATATTATTTTTGCACTTACTTTACATTAAATCGAATTTATCGTCTCCAACTTTAACTCTTTCAGTAACAAAACATTATAATCTGAGGAATAAAATTCTTGCTGTCCTATATAAACATTTTGACGAGACAGCATCAATCAGAGAAATACTTTGAAACCACCAACTATTGACTTTAAACGGAATAGGAAAATACAAAAAAAACCCTCGTCTGCGAAATGAATTACTGAATTGAGTAAAAACTTCTGAAATGTAGATTTAGGTAAACGCAGATCCATTAAAGTCATTTGCAAGCAAGCTACTTCTAAACAAAGATCAAATAAATCGAAACTGCATCTGATCACAACACACTCAAACGACTCTCGATTATTTAAATCGATTTTAAAAATAAAACTTGACCTTTTTCCAACACGTAATCATGATAAACGAATCGATTGTTTAATAAATCATGCACACAATCGAGTTAATCTCGATTTGCTGGTGACCTCCATAAGGCCGGGACACTCAATTTGTCATCTTATACACAGCAAAATCGGCACTGCGCAATTAAAGTTTAATTTAAGAAAACATATTTTTAACGAAACAAGTTTTATGAAGAAAAAATACGAGGTAGTCGATTACGTGTGCATCGATACATCGGTAACTTCAAAAGTGTTTTTTATCGATTCCATTATTTACGTTTAATTACAAGTATTACAACACTATCTCGTAATCGATTCCATTTTAGAGCACAGCCTACATGTTACTTACAATATAACTTCTCTGAATTGAATGTACGGAAATCCAAACAACAAAACTACATTTTTATTTATTAAAAACATAAACAAAGACTAGAACTAAGATGAATATCTACAATGCACTAAAAAACCAAAGTCCTAGCGACATTTTCTTTTCTAAACCACGGCTGCGATTGTAGAGGTTATCGACCGACTGCCAACCCGACCTTGTAATACAACTCGAAACTAAGAAATACTATTTAATCTGCCACAATTTCACACTCTACATCACTATAAAATTAAAAAGTTGGCACGTGCAATCTTGTTGAACATGACATATTGTTTTTTTTATCCATTATTTTTTCAATAGAGATGTGCAAGTGAATGTTAATCGTAATGAGATTGCTTTGTGTGTTCTTAATGACTTTTAAATCTGAAATAATCTTACACATCCGTGAATCAAAATGAAAAGAAAAGGCTAATTATGTTATGTAACTTATTTATCTAATAAGTGAACGTAATATTTTAGTTCCGAGTTACCTAAGTAAATAAGAACTATAATATTAACGTAATCGTATTAAAATAAGAAATTAAACAGTTTGTTTGTTCAATAATTAGGCAACTATAGATATGGCTACTTTATAGACTACAATATATAATAAGGATAAATATAGTAAAAGCGTAAAAATAAAAAACAGACTACAAAACATAAACAAAACTCATTTTCGTCAAAAAAAACTAAACAATAATAAGCGTATGGTACCAAAATTACACAAATAAACTTGTGCGCAAACTAGCAACATTTATAGCAATTTTTAATCTAGATTTTTTGCTACACTCGCTCCATTAGAAGGAACCTGTTGTGTGGAATAAAAATGGCTGATTATGGAGAAATAATTCGTTCTTACGGTGTAACTACGTGTCTGCTTACACACGTGTCGAGAATATGGAAACGTTGGTTGAAATGACCATGGAAAAGAGAAATTATTTTGCAAAAATCGTTTAGAAAATTTATAATATCGACGTTCTATGACCATCTTCTTCAAATTAGGAATGACTTAGGAATCTATATAAGCTTAAGTAAATCGAGAATCCTTGTGTGGTCAATTAATACTTATAAACAGCCATATAATTTCCATACTAAAGTTAGAATTTCTTGAGCTTCTGCGTAACATTATGGTCAAGGATCAACTGAAGTTTCTACAAACATTTTGGATTAGGAACTGATAATTTAACTTCTTCTGCTTCTTCTACTTTACTTAATTTTTATTTTTGTTATGCCCGACAGGGCTCACAACGCTCCAAAACTAATGTATGCATAGCATAACCTTATCTACCCTACAACCTAAGTTCACATTGTGGAATGCAATAAGTAAGAGTATTGAATACTTCTTAAGTAAGCAATTTTTTAAAAATACCAAAGTTCCATCTGTCTTAATTAAAAAAAAGGTTTAAATATATTTAATTCTTATTTTGTAAGTTACAAGTCAAAGTGTCAAGGACTATAAACAAAATAAGTACTGGCATGAAATAAGAACACACAATAAAACAGCGTCGTTTGCTTAAACTTTTGAACTTAAGACCAAAACACGTTATATCTTACAATATTTACCTACAAGATACACACAGCCTACGGACAAAACAACTACAACAGAAAAAAATTAAAACAAAAACCATTAGTACTTTCTGTTATGATTGCTTGTACATATCCGCGATTCTATGCACATCACATCCCAAACTCAGATCAACAATTTGGCGATCGTACAAGAAGGTGTGACAAAATCTGTGCAGATATCGCAACCACGAATTCCCTAAGGAGGCCAGGTGCTGCTCGACGTGGTAAGGAAGCATATGCAAGGATCATAGTAAACACTCGGATCTCACGAATTCTGCCTTGCGTGAATTGAATTTCTTTTTGTTATTACGTACGTAAACGACAAAACAGGTTTTCACAACAATACAAAGTGTATAACCTAACCAAATTGCAAAGAGTAACATCCCGACTGCAGACAAAATCCAAGGTTAACCGACCTTCGTTCAAACTGACCAACTCGGCCGTGGGAAACCGCGAACAATCATAAGGGTGGGGCGCGAGTTACAGCGAGTTTCACTAGTGGCGTGATCAACTATTTATCATGATTATTCTTTTTCTTTTTTTAAACTTTTCTCAACATTAGGATTTTCTCCTGTGTCGTGGGTGCGGTTACGAACATACATTTTCAAATACACTGACACTCAGACCCTGAACAACAATTTGTGGATCACACAAAGAGTTGTTCCGTGCGGGAATTGAATCCGCGACACGTTGTAGGGCAGCCAGTTGCCCAGCCACCGCACTAACCGTGTAGTCAAAAGAAGTTGATAGAACTTAAAGATCTAATATAAGCTTTTCTTTTGCATGTGCTTAGGATGGATTACACAGTAAGGTAAACTTTACTATAAAAATGTATCTTAGATTTTTTCTCAGAACAACCATAACAATTTTAGAAGTGCCTGTCACGCTTATTTTCTGCACTTAACACAAGACTACGATACGACATCGTTAACCACGTTTTCCTATCCCCGGGCTTTCTGCCAACTATTTCAAGCCATCAAACATACAATATTCATTCATCTAGAATGTTGCGGAATCCGGTTGTAACTAGAAATATATTAATTTGATTGGACTATGCGACGTAATTATCAAAGTACACGTCTTGGATGAATGGCAATATTTACTACAAATTACTTGAATGGATAGAAATACACGTTTTGCAAGATATAACTATCATATAGACTGTCATTTATCAAGCTAAGCAATACACTTTATCTACGAAACAGACAAAACAATGGAAAACAAAGATTACACTGTGATCCGTGTTTGGAATTTTTGCAATTCTTTCGAAGATAGTCATTACTTGCAGCCATATTTATTTACCGCTAGCAATGTGGCCCCATCCTTACCTAAGGTCGCAGACAATGACATGATAGGGTCCGGATTTCGATGTATTGTTCGTTTTTCAAATCCCCGAAACAGCGCAAGTCAGTTTCATAATGTGCCAGGTATAATTTGCAAGAACTTGACGTATTGCAAAAAGGTTTTGTGCATGTGAAACTTTTTGCTGCTTTTTGAAAAAACATCCTATTCTTTTGATTTAAGTATTGAAGGTATGTCTTCTTTACACGTGTTCGTTATTTTAAATACTTTCATTTTATTTTTATAATATTGTATAATAATTTTCTTGATGTCGTACGTTTTTCCCTATTGTATAAAAAACATAATTGTTATAGGAGGCTGACTATTGTACATTAGCTAACTCTACCTAAAAGGGACATGAAACAAGAAAAAAGTAGGCTAGTATTTATTTTTCCGTTATCCTTAGCAAAGAAAAGTCTCACATAAATAAAAACACTAACTCGACACAGAATAAAAATAACCTCGAAAACTAATTATGAAGTGTTTCTCCTTTGCATTGTTTTAAAATTCCCACTAAGCAACGATTTTTCATAAATATATTTCGTAACCTAAAAAAAACATGATTCATAAAAGATTGACCGTTCTAATGTG